ATTGATTGTTATCTAGATGTGGTAATGATTGTTTGATGGGAAAATTTTTGAATTGGTAGAACTTAGGTTGTGAGTTATTGTTGAAAAATTATATCAACCTATATCTATTTCTCTTCCACTTTACCATATTGTAAAATAAGTTTGGGGGTAGTCGAGCCGGTGAATGTTTTTATTGAAGAAGTGTGTTGATTCCATGCATGTTGAAAAAACTTGGTGTGGAGTGTCTTTTGCCGAGTATAAGCTAGGTAATGACCATATGTTAGGAATCTACGCCCTAATTGTTGCTTAAAAAGAACATCGCACTTTGTTAAATCTTATATCTCGCTTCGTAGGCTTTTTGAATCGAGTTATTAAGTCCGTTGGGGTATCTCAAAACTCGGTACCCTTTGGTCTAAACAATTGGGGAGTTACCAACCCAAAGCTTGTTACAAGGATCAAGAAGAAAGCTTAAGGGAGTGAAGTCAATTTTGAGCTTTTATTGAAAAATTTGATTTGGTGCAATTGTAATTGATCATAGGCATAGATAACCAGTAGGTTTGACTTACTTAGTATAAACTTGATTGTGAAAGCACTCATTAGTGGAGAATCATCACATTTCTAGATGTTGAAAATGTCGGTTAGATCCAACCGAACTAGTGCGGAAAAAGAAAAGAGTGATTGGAGAGCGACCTATAGATTTACACCTTAGGAGTAAGAAAAAGAAATATCTATCTGAATGTGTGAATCTCAAGAGCGAGAATGGATATATGACCACTGAGAGTCGGGTTGTAGCCAATTTAAGGTTTTTTCCATCTTGATAATGGTTTCCTAATTTAGATGATGATTGAAAGTGGCTATACACACACTACACTGATCAAACAATAGATAAGCTGAAGATGATTTTCGATAGCGTCATTTGGAGCATGGTTTTAAATTGATAAACAATTGTATAACTCTGTGATATTTTTGGCAAGCTATCTAATATGTTGATCTTCATTGCATTTGCATGATTATGGGTGTGTTTGGTACCCATTAAAATTTTCATTCTCATTCTTCTACTCATTTTCAACCACACATTCTTCATTAAAATAATATTTTCCATCATATCAATAACTTTTCCTTCTTTTTCAACCACACATTCTCATCAATCTACTATTTCAAAATACATTCTTCCAAAATAATATTCATTAAACACACTCTAAATTGTAGTTGGCTAAAATGGTTCAAAAAATGATTATCACGCGATATTTAATATATTATAGATTTGTTATTAATTTTTTTAAAAAAAATATTAGATGACGTGTCATATTCCAATTGGTAGATACACGTATTCACCAACGAGCGCACCATAAAGCCCGCACAGTATTTCTACTTCTACTCTGCGTCGAGATTCGAGACGTTTCCGTCGTTAAACAGGCTCACACTCAAAACCCGAATCCAAAATCGACTCATCGAAAGAAGAACCCATTTTTTGAATTGAATTTTGAGGAAAAATGCATCGGTCTTCCTCGTTTCCATTAATATTGGTTTTACTGATAATTGTAGAGCTGAGTGCAAGCGTGAATGCATTGTATGGGCCATCATCCCCAGTTGTTCAGTTGAATCCCTCCAACTTCAAGGCCAAGGTACGTGATTTGGGGTATAATTGGATATGCAAATTTTTAGATTTGTGAGAAAAATACGCGTAATTTAAAGTGATATAATGAGAAGCATTTGATATATTTGTGTGTCATTATTTTTCAAATTTTTGACAATAGGTTACATCAAAAACTGGTAGGCATATAAGATTTGTATCTATATGTCTCTGTTTTGCGTATGATTGTGTTCTTGGATGAATTTTGAATTCAGCTTATGTTAACTGATATAGCTCTTTCTTCGGTTTTTTAATTTATGGATTTTATGCTCCTATTAGTGAATAAAATCAAGATGTTTCGTTTGGTGGTGTTAATAAGCCCAGGAACTGTAATTTGTAAAGAATTCTTTGAATGTGAGTGGTATTTCCAAACTTCAAACCAAAGCTACTAATCCACGCTGCTAGCATAATTGTTAAGATATTTTGTTAATTGCCATATTAATGGTAATACTTGAGTAAACAACTAGAATGAGGACTTGTCCAAGCTTTAATTTTGATATAGTTTATCTTCAATCTTCATCATTTCAATTACATCGTGATTTCAATTGAATTCAGAATATAAGATTATCTATTATTATTATTTTTAATTTGATGGCATTCTACAACTGTTTGAAATCTATCATTTTGGTTTTATTGCTACATGTATCAGGCAGGGATCTAATTTGTAGCCTACATGTTGCTTATTGTCTGATAGACAATTTTCTTAAATGCACTGTTGCAGGTACTGAATTCAAATGGTGTTGTTTTAGTTGAGTTTTTTGCACCTTGGTGTGGCCATTGTAAAGCATTGACGCCTACATGGGAGAAGGCAGCCAATGTCTTGAAAGGCGTTGCTACTGTGGCAGCTCTTGATGCTGATGCTCACCAGTCACTTGCTCAGGTTTCATTTAGTTGAGAAATTTTCTGTATAGTACTATGCTTGCTGAACTTGACCCCATTAGGATCGATTCAAGAATTTTTTTTTCCTGGTTACTACAACTTTATTTTATCGAAAAGTTTAGTCAACTCTAGAAACAAGAATTGTAATTTCACAAGGTAGGGGATCTTGTGGAAAAAAAAAACTGAAGGCATAAAGTAGAGAAGTTTCTACAGAGGAGTGAGGAGAAACTTTAGATGCATGCATATTAATTATGGGTCAAGTTTTATGATTATGTTTGGGATAATTAATATCATGTTATATATCATGACTTGGGATTACGTGGTAGATGGAATACTAGTTTTACATCTCCACTCCGTATTTACATTTCTGTCCAAGCAAGATAACATTTCATGACTTTTCAACTCAATTGCTACATAAGATATCTATGGTTTGTTTTGAAAAGAATTTAGAAATGCAGTTATTTTTAGGTTTTCTGGAATTTGTTATAAATAGGAACTGATATCATGATGTGTTTTCTTTTCTTACTTTGATGGCCAATTTATATAACTATGGGAAGTCACCATGCTATTCACGCAACGCTGATGTATGTGTATTGTTTAATCGTTCATCATTATTTATTTTTCTTCAGGAATATGGCATTCGAGGCTTTCCTACCATTAAAGTCTTTGCACCTGGGAAACCGCCAGTAGATTACCAAGGAGCTAGGGAAATCAAGCCTATAGCTGAATTTGCACTGCAACAGGTCAAAATTATTTCCTTTTATTTGTGGGAAACCTATTAGTAACTTTTTCTTGATTTATTTGCTCCTTCGTGCTTATGTAAAATAACTGCATTGATTTTCTTCATGGAAGAAAAGGTGAATTGTCTTATGACTTTTAGCTGCATTCTATTATCTGCAACTATCACCAGCTAATGTTTACTATTTATGGAAAAGAAGTGAAAAAACAATCTATATGGAAGAGACAGGTTTGTGGTACGTAGCTAAAATAAGACCCTTTGGCTTAAGGATGTAGAATTGTGTGTTATGCATAACGTATCATTTTCTTACATGCAATTTTATGTTGTTAACTATTGTATTGCGGTTGAGGGTCCATGTGTCAAGTAATATCCGACTTGCTTTCATATGCATAATCTGTGGTCGAGAACATAACATCATTCTTGCTCAAGCCAGTGAGTTCTCCGTGTGAACCTGGACATAAATTTTTTTTAGAAATTGTTTAAAAAAGCAATTGGAGGTTTATGCCTCGAATCTTTTCTCAAATGAAGCTTTCGTAAATTCCCTTAAACCTTACTCCTTGAGTGGCATTTGTGATGCTTTTACCTCAATTTATGTGAAGGAGAGTAGATGATTGTTTGTAGAAGATCATGACAAAAAATGAAAAAAAAATAAAAAACTAATACCAACGAATAACATGATGTTGATGATTCCCTTAAAGATTATATTAGTAGTGATGATATAAAAGATTTCTAAATTATTTCTACTCTTCTTAGTCTCCATCTGGGGAGAATTTATAAACAGTTTAATTTAAAATAGATAGAATTGAGTTGTGAATAAGTGGGTAGTTCTTGTTGGTCCATTGCAATGTGTAGTTGAAAATGAAGTTTGACAATTTATAAATGATTTACATATCTACCCAATCGGAGGCGTAGTCTATTACAATTTTGTTTCGTGACTATTAATTTGATATTGAACTTGTTTGGGATGGCTTAGCTTAAAGATAAGTAACAAATATATGACTTATTTTTAATGTAAGACCACCTACATTCAAAATAAGCCTCACATTTGTACCTTATCTTTAAGATAAATCATTTAAACATGCTCATTATTTGCTGCCTTTCTATTTTGTGTTTGTTTTCAAGTCAGATTTTTAATTTGTTGTGGATTTCTAAATATGATTTGTAGTTTATTATGAGCATTTTTATTTTATTTATATTCTTTTGAAGTATTTTAGTGGTTGTCTTGAAGCTTATACCTCGACAACCAGGAAAGGAAAAAGCCTCAGTACCAATTGAGCCCTTTTCTACTATGGTTTAAGACTATTTCTTTTTAATACAGATTAAAGCACTTCTGAAGGAACGTTTGAATGGAAAGGCAACAGGAGGATCGAGTGGGAAGTCAGAACCTAATGCTTCAATAGAATTGAACTCAAGTAATTTTGATGAATTGGTAACTAAAAGCAAAGAACTCTGGATCGTAGAGTTCTTTGCACCTTGGTAAGTTGTCTACTTGACATGTTTTTCTTTCCTTTATCCTAAACACGTTGTGAAATTACAACTTTTTGCTTCTTAAATCATCACAAACAAATTTAATTTTCATTTAAAGTATATAATGGTAGTAATTCAGTGCATAATTTAGGCATGAATTTAAAAAGTGAGATCACTGTGACGCCGTAGTTTAAAATAGATAAGAGTTCACATAGGGCTGCAATTGAACCAAGCTAACACAAGGTGACTTGTATGGGTTTGGTTTGTTTTATGAGTTGATGATAAGCAAGCTCAAGCTCAGGTTGCTAGCTGTTCCTAGGTCGTTGTATCTAATAATTCCAACAAAAAATAGATTTAGATGTAAACAACATCAAATTCACAATTTGAAATAAATCAAGCAGAATATAATCAGAAACAAAAACCAGGAGACATTAGTTGAATCTAATACTCCAACATATGACAAAAAACTAAGCCTTGTTCCCAATAAATTTGAGGTTGGTTACTAAATTTAATTCGCCACTCTGTTTAATTGTGAATTAGGATTGATGTGATAAGATTTGACAAAGTTTTATGCTAACGTCAACGTACTGTTACCCTCCTTTACCGGGGCTAGGGATTGGCTACATAATATGCAGTTGGATCTCATACTATTATGCCCTTGTTTGACAATCATTATTTGGGTAAAATGAAGTTTTGAATAGTGATATTTTGGAGAATATGTCGTTAAAAAGTGGGGAAAAGTTTTGGATTTACGCGTAGAATATTTTATTGGGTAAATGTGTAGTTGAAAATGAGTGTAAAAAAAAAAAAGAAAAAAGAATTTTGAATTAATGATTGTCAAACATGGGCTATATATAATTGCTTCTTCAAATATTTATCTCCACTGCTAAGCTTTTAGGCTTGAAACTTGGGCTAGATCTCTCAAATACTCAATAAAACCAAAATGATTAACTTGGTCAGATGAAGAAAATGGAAGGAAGTACTGTGAAATTTGTATTTTCTCAATTATGAATTTGGTGGATAGGAGGTGGAGTATGGGGGGAGTTTTTGCAGTTTATATTGTTTCAGAATTTGGGGAGGCCGATTCAGGTTCTTGCTTCATTTCGTTTATTTGCTTAATGTTTCAGAGGTACTATTAAACCATCCAAACGTTCTCAAAAACCACCAAGATAAAATAATTTTGGCACGCTCTTTCAGTTTATTGTGCTAATGTTTTTTTTTACTTAATACCACTACAGATACATGAATATTACCTGGATTCCAATTTATTGAAGATCGGTACATAGATTTTATAAACGAGCTACAGTGAATGAAAACATGTTCAGGCTTGGCTCATTTATTTAACAATCTCAATAATTTGTTCAAGCTTGGCATGTTTATCTTTGGAACAAAAACGAAATAGCTTCAGGCTGAGCATAACACAAGCTGTCGGTGAATGGCATAAGTTATCAGTTATTGACAAGTGGATTCAACAATACAATATTTACTGAGCTACGATTTAGGTGTTTTCCACCTAGAAGTTGATCATCTCGTCCGTCATATTTTGGTTGGTCAATTTTCCATGTTGAATATAAAAACTCTATTTGTCAGAATGATCCAAGTTATGTACTTTTTGTGGTTGACCAGAATAGCGTGTATGTATTTAACTTCACTGAAGTATTCTTCTTTTTCTTAGTTAAAGTATTCTTTTCCATAACTTGAATATTTGTTATATAATTTGAGTTCTAATATGTGGCTCTATTTTAGGTGTGGACACTGCAAGAAGCTTGCTCCCGAGTGGAAGAAAGCAGCTAATAATCTCAATGGCAAGGTGAAGTTGGGTCATGTAGACTGTGATGCAGACAAAGTAAGTTTCAGAATCTAACACTTACTTTCTGATCTAGTTATTATTAAATTGTTTCTATGACTTATTTATATATTTACTTTTATATGCACTTCTCTGAAATGGCGGGATGATAGGCTTTGCTTTGTTTTTCCATGATGAATGTAAAACCTCCTGCTAGTCTAATAGCCTTTGCACAAGGTTCAGAAAGCGCATCAATCTTTCTCAAAAATACAAACTGATGACCTGGAACTAATAATGATTCAAGGCTGAGATATGACGCTCAGACATTTGAAATTAAATGTGAGCCATTTAAATTTTCAAGTTTCCGGACGGTTTGAATTGTACAAAATTTTGTATACAAGGCAAATGTAAAGCACATTTTTTCTACTTAAAAACCATCTTTCTGGATAATATTTGGTGCTGCACAAATTGTTGAGGGATTATATGCTGGGCTTTTTAATAGTGCACCAACTATCCTTATTCTTACTGGTCAACCAGTGAATGTACAAAGTTGTGAGGTTTTCAATGGGAATGAATTTCGGTGGTTATATCTCAGAGAAAGATCTCCATATGACACGAGATTTATGTGATGTGCTTACCATCTTTTAACCTTCATCTGAAAGCACTTGACATGTAAAACAAACCACTGAAGACAGATAGAGCACATATGATATCTATCTAAGATATGAAATGATGCTTTCTTGCTTAGGTTCATGGACTCTAGTTGTAAACTGCATCCAATTTTGAGCATTTTGTGCATGCTATAGTGGGATAATGTTATGACCAAATATCATTAAGCCCTTGTTCCACGATTGGTTCAAATATTGATATTGAATGTCGTATCAAGGTATTCAAATTTAAAGATATTGAGATGTACCAATAGTGATAACATAAATTGTGATTTGCTAAAATTGATAGACTTGTTTGGAATTTTTGTGACAATTTGTCAAACATTCAATGACGTGCAATTAATGTATTTCCATATACTTGTATCTCAATAGTGATGCATAATATACCCAAGAAACAACTTTCAAAAAGTGCACATGAGATGAGATATTAATTTGAACAATCTGCTACTCATGAGAAGGGATAAAAAAGTTAAAAGCCCTTCACTACATGTCTTTTTCAAGAAAAAAGAAAAGAAAAAAAATGATAATTAAATGTGATTTTGCTTCTACAGCCTTCATGATTTTCATTAAGACTCAAAGTGGTCATTGAATTCAAGTCCTTGTGAGTTCACATCCCATCTTACCGTGTGAAAATAATTTGAGTACGAAATATGGTTTCTGTATTTTCTTGCCTAGTAGTCTACTGGATCCCAGCGTTGCTGAAGTTTTCTTTAGACTTGGTTATGTTCCAAATATGTACAGATATTTTACCATGATGTCCCTATTAATAAGGTCCTTTCAAGCATAATTAGTTGCAGTGCTTGTTGATGAACTGTGATACTAATTTGATGTTGCTTTAGCTCTTATAAAATTGTATTGACATATGAGATTGATATATTTTTAAAAGAAGTCATTGAGACATCTCGGAGATCTATTGCATCATTAATACTTTTACATAACTATGAATGTTTTCTGATATATTGAGAAATATTTGATATCCTAATAATTTCATGGGAAAAACATAAAAACACTGCTCCCCGCGCCTGTGGAACCAAAAAAAAATCTTTCATGGGGAGAAGCAGAGATATTATTGTGGACATTATGGTCACAAGGCCTCCAGATCAGATTCACAGTAATAATGCCAGAGCAGAAATGGGATTTTGTTCAATACTGAAAAATGCACATTTTATCATGAAGTATCAGCATATTAACAACATCCTGATCTAGCATAGTAAAAATCTGGGTAAATTTAATAGCTGGATCATCAGCTGGATTTTTTTAGTTTATTCCTATGGTTCTTCATTGAGCTCATGTTTCTAACAATTTCAAGTTGTCAGTCTCTAATGAGCAGGTTTAACGTGGAAGGATTTCCCACTATCTTGGTTTTTGGGGCAGACAAAGACCACCCAATCCCCTATGAAGGCGCAAGATCAGCCTCCGGTATTGAGTCGTTTGCCTTGGAGCAGCTGGAAACAAATGTTTCCCCTCCTGAAGTGATTGAGTTGACTAGCCCTGTAAGATCTGCCCCCTCTCCTAAAAATGAAAAGGAAAAAAAGCTTCTTTGCTATCCAACATGAGTTTTCAGTACAAAGCACTTACAATACTGTACTTGTAGGATATTTTGGAAGAGAGGTGTGGTTCAGCAGCCATATGTTTTGTTGCCTTCCTTCCTGACATTTTGGACTCCAAGGCAGAAGGCAGGAATAAGTACCTCGAACTTCTGTTATCAGTTGCAGAGAAATTCAAGAGGAGCCCTTACAGGTTAGGATACTAGTCCATCACTTGCTTTTGTCAATATGCCTAAAAGCAGGAAAAGCCCTTTTGATTTGCTTTTCAGGTTTTAGTTTTGGGTTTTGAATTTATTTTCAATTTTCCCTTTTGAGGGTCTGTTTTAAGATGGCTAAAAATGACTTTTATTTGTCATTATGAAAAGTTGTTTCTCAAAACAGAAAACTAGAAAACACGTTTGGTTAAGAATTTTGAGACATTATTTATGACATTTTATTACATAAAATTTGATTTTCTTAGTAAAATAGAACATTTTATGTTAACATATTATCAAATAAATATATACATTTTTAAAGTAAGGGTTAGTTATTTCATCCACTATTCTTACATATCCATCCACTTTAAAAGAAAAATTTATATTACATTTTTAATTTTATGTAAATTCTCTTAAATAGACAAGAATAAAACAGAATAAAATATAGCAATCTAAATTCATCCACTAGTGTTTATCCTAATTAAATGCTCATGGACCTTTTATTCTTTTAGACATGTTTAATTAAAATCTTAATATTCATAAAAAATCTTCTACAACTAAGTCAAAACAAACAATGGAAGTGGAAACTAATGTCCTGTTCGATTTGTAAGGAAAAAAGAAAGATTTAGGGCAGCAAGGTAGAACCGATCTGAGAAGAAATAAATATCACAATCTTCTTTACAATTATATGAATTATAGTTCATCTATTAAAATTAGTTTCGGGAAAGCATTTAAGTTGCTTCACTTAAAAGCATAAACTTTACTTAAACAACCATTCAAAACATAAATTTCTTGGTGAAAGGTCCGTAAAATACTCCAGAAATCCATACCAAAATATTAATGTTCACACAGCTACTCTCTCTCTCGTCAGCTTTTTAATTGATCTAATTTTTGTCCAAATCTTTATGTAATATATGTTGTTTTGTTTTTTTTATAAATAATTCGTTTTTTTGGTTAAACTTTGTGGATAAATATAGTGTTAATGCATTTAATAAGAGTAATGTTGAAATGTAATAAGGATGAATATAATACTTTTTAAAAATTTTAAAATTATGATAGGGATAGATTTAGAGTAGGATATATATAGAGAAGTGGTATGGATATATAGTGTTTAAATGATTGAATTTAATAAGGATATTGTTGGAATGTAATGTGGATGAGTACAATACTTTAAAATTTTAATAGGGATAGATTTAGAGTGTGATATATATATATATATATATATATATAGAAATGATCTAATGAGCACCGGTGCTCATCTTATCCTAAGCACCGATGAGTNAAAAATAAAAATTAATGACATGAACTGAGAATATTTTAATTGTGGTCATTTAAATATTTTTTTTAGATTTTTTTTTGTAAATAATCATTAAAATCTTTAAATATTTTTTTTTTTATAATTTTCATTTCTCTAGAAATTTTTATAATTTTATTTTTTTCAGCATTTTTATTTTTTAGAATTTTAATTTTTTTGGAATTTTAGATTTTTTTTTTTTAGAATTTATCAAATTGTTGTTATTTTTTTAAAATTCTAGAATTATATATTTATTTTTTAGAATTTTAAATTTTTATAATTTTATTTGAATAAAATTTTTATTTAAATGTTTATTTTCCATGATTTTGGTGTTTTCAACTTTTTCACTGAAAACTTAAAAAATGCGTTTTTGAGTTTTATGTTAAAAGTTTAACGTTGCATTTTCAAACATAACAGATTTAACAAGTTTTGGGTGTTTTGCAAACCTGTAAACAGCTTGAAAATGCACTCTTACTTCACGCAAAAAGGGAAAAAATAAATTAAAATTAAAAAGTGAAGAAGACCAGAAGTTGGAGCTAAGATTTGGGTTTTGCAAATGTGCAGTTATGTGTGGGCAGCTGCAGGTAATCAGCCAGATCTTGAGAAGCATCTCGGAGTTGGTGGCTATGGGTATCCTGCCTTGGTAGCCCTAAATCTGAAGAAGAAGTTATATGCTCCACTTAAGAGTGCATTTGAGCGCGATCAGATTATGTAATCTCTCTCTCTCTCTCTCTCTCTCTGTATATTGTAAGTTACATTGTATCAAGGTCATATAAGCACAACATATTCCATTTCATTTCACAGAGAATTTGTGAAAGAAGCTGGACTCGGTGGGAAAGGTAATCTGCCTATGGCTGACACCCCTGTTATTACGAAGACTGAACCCTGGGATGGTAAAGATGGACAAATCATTGAAGAAGATGAGTTCTCACTTGAAGAACTTATGGGGGATGACACTGGAGGCAAGGATGAATTATAGTTCATATTATAATTTAGAAAATGAGAATCGAGTTTCAAAAAAGTTTTGGTGAACAACTCTGTATTGCCTTAAAACATTGACATTTGACCATGATCCAATGTATCCGTCTCCTTGAAGAAAATCCGACTGCCTCGTTCTATTTGTCACGTCTCATTTCAGTTTGTGTTTGTTACTCCCCTCCACTGATATCTCAGAACTGGGTTCATTTGGAATGTATAACACGTTTCACTTATTTTTTGTCATTTAGCCCCTGTTCAGTACATTTTTAGATCAGATTTTTAGCAAGTTGTTAAAATTTGATGAAAGTTGTGAATCTCATAAAATGTGTAGTTAAAATTAATTGTTTGCTTCGATTTCGGATTAAAATCTGATTTTAATCTACACCGTTGACTTAATATTTTCAATTCAGCACCTGACTACCTGAAAAAAAACTAGGAGCCTGAGGAGTTGAAATTTGAGAACGTAAAGGAAAATTTCATGGGAGATGATTACATTTCACATTAGTCTATTATATATCCTTTCTTGTCCAATAAAAACCCATAATGTGGACTCGAAGATAAACACGACGGCATGATTATCACGGAGAAGTTGTAACTACATAGGTCAGTAAACTCCATCAGATGCCAAAGTTAAACCCACATGGGCTAAAATATGGCCAATTTACTCGTAATGTGTTCGTTTGTAGCTACAAACTCGAAAACTAACCTCTTTCATAGTCATAATGTTGTGAGTCAAAGGGAGCACAATCCTATATGAGAACTACAAAAGCGCTCCAAAATTTACACCCCTATCTACTGTGTAAGTTTAACTTTGGTGGGGGTGGGGGTGGGGTAGTTAGTACCCTGTAGCATGTACCCATAAGAACAGCATGGCATTAGACCTAAAACTCCTAAAACTAATTGTATAGTCGTAGCTTTTATCCCTTGCTAAAAGTTCTGTTTGACTGCTTCTCAGAGTGACTTCCAACCATAGTTGATGGAGCTCTTAAATCTTCTCAAGTCCACGAAGTCAGACTTAGCCTGGTAATTCTTCTTGTACTCGTTTTCCCATTAATTTGAATTATTTATTCTTTGTAGGCATTCTTTTCTCAAAGGAGAATCTGTAAATATGGCTCTGATGAAGTCTTCCACCTGCAAGGAAGAGCGAGTAAATATCACGAATTGATGCTATGTAACATGGACATCAGATTTGGAGGGGAAAACGAGGAAGAACAACATATCCGCATTGGCCTTTTCTGTTTTTACGTTCTTTTCATTAAGAGGGTGTTGTCTCCACCCATTACAAATGGAATGTTGTTGCCTTGTACGGAATCAGAAAGCAGTTCAAGTTCAAATGACTTTTCATACCTCTGACAGTGTAAAATTGCATTCGACAAGTTCACCGCTTTCCCAGGCAGTAGTGATGGACTTCAAAGGCATGTCCAAAAGTTCTAATGAAAGCGTGGAGAAAATAAAGGTCACTAACAAATTTAGATAATCTAATTCAAGAGTGAGATCTAAAATATGATGAGAAAAGATACCTGCCAGTTTGCGCAACTTCCGCAGGGATGGTATAAAATTAGCAAGAGTGTCTCTCTGGGCCTCCTGTGGCTTCCCTCTCCCACCAACAATGAACAGGGACTCTACTAAAGATGACAGATGCTCAAACAGCAAATGGATCAGTGTTTGAAGCTGCAGTCCAAAAAGGGATAAAATATGCATTAGCTTAGATCGTTGCAAACTCTGAACTTCTATTTGACACAGATTCGTACACTGCACCTGCAATGTTTCTGCTGCTGCCATATCATCTAACAGAAGTATGTCTTTTGCAATTCTTGAAAAGACAGCCTCCAGAACCATGCTCATACTCTTCTCATAAATATATGATAATAACAGAGGCTCCCAGATGATGCGTACTTTCTCGATTATGAAAGCAACCTGATCATGAACTCAGGCAGGCTTCTTAGACAGTGTAGACACCCCCAACCCCAAAATATAAAGAGAGAGAGAGAGAGGGGACAGGTGGAACCTTTTTGGTATGAAAAACTATGATGATAGTCTTGGTCAGATCATGAAGGGTGTAAATTTCAGAATGTGATGAGATAAGGCAGTCTTTGCTACTCAATCAACAATAACCAAACCTATTTTTCTATGTAAAGGTGCACAAATCATTTAAAAAATATACCTGTTCAATACTAAACTTGGCAGACTCGAACTGTTTTATCTGGTGGGTATTTTGAAATCCATCAGCCCCATCAATAGCCTTGTCAGAAACAAAGTTACAGCATAATTAATTTACAGAACATTTTAGCTTTGAAAGTTCTAAAAGGCATATGGTCATGAACACTGGGCAAGAAAACATTAGACAGCAAAATAGCATCATTTTCCTAGTAAGGTACTAAAGGTGGGAGAGACATAAATGCAAAAATTATGCATACATAAACCACTTTTCCTCTACAAGTTACATTGTATTACATATGCAAGTGATACTATGACCTCAAAAATTACATGCACTTTGGTAAACAATCACATCTTAAGATTGCAGTAAAGATTCTCTCTGATCCTTCAATACTCTTAATTGATCTTTAATCAAGTATTATGTTTCATTCAACTGTACTAACTCTTTTCCACATGTACATAAGGTTTCTTCATATTCATAGAAATCAATTTTTCATAATTGCGTGTCATGAAGTGTTCAGTATTATCCTAGAAGTGCTCGATCCATGTCCAAATTTCTGGCTCTTGTAAGGGTCAAAGAAGTGTTTCACATGTCAGAGAGGATCTGAAGAGTGTTGTATCTGAAACATGTCCAACATGGGACGTGTAGCCTTCTTGAGAGAGTGCATCTCAGGAAAAGAGATGCTTCGAAGATACAGTAAAGGACGCCACATGCATTTTTCTGTTCGGCAAATATACCTCTTTCAAGTTATATATGACAAGCTGAATTTGTCTCTGCAATACTTCTTCAGCCATCAACTGAAATCTTGGAGCCAGATCAATAAATACAGCAAGGTCCTTAACAAAACTGGGAAAGTATGGGCGAAACTGCAACATTAAAGATAATATGATAAGCAGTAGCCAAAAAAATATTAAAAGAAAGGTGACATCACACATATATAACAAAAAAAAAAAAAAAACTGCTTTTACAAATGAAAAATGAGTCTACATTTACAATATCTGTGGATCCACTGCATCATATATATATTGCCATTAAAAAATGTTAAAGAAAACCAAGCAACCTTAGACATTCGGCCTCTATCGTTCTGAAACTAGGTATTTCATATAGATAGTGTAGAAGCAATTTAGTTTAGAAAAAATAAAACCCATCTATGCATACCTCAAATGCAAGCCCAAGAATCTCCTCAGAAAGGTAGAGACAGTCATTGTGAATGAGCACAGCGGCCTGGTTAATGGAATCAAGTTGCCTCTCAAGCTTCATAGTCCAAAGAAAATATCAGAACAATCATTGCATCGTTCAAATACAAGTTGTTAAAATTTTCAAAATGTAATCATATTTACAGTTCTCTACTGCGATTGTCGGCGGATGAATAGCAAGATCATAAATCTAATGCAATTGCAGCCTCAAAGATATTTTAAGGTTACTAAACTCTATTATTTTTTATTTTTGGTGGCGTTTGGAGACTTCCAAATGACTTTCTGCACTAACCTTCACAGGTATAACAGCTTCATAAAGAACTAGAGCATTTCTAGCAGCATGATAGAATTCCAACCCCACTGTCGGAGGTAACAAGCAGACATCCTGCATGAAGCACCAAAAAAGTTGCAATGGCATTCTAGAAAATACACGTGTTTATGCATGTAAAAACTGGAAAGTAACCAAAGCCCATATACCCTTCGACAATTATATACTGATGCAGCAACTATAGCATGTAGCCATACAAGTACAGTGATATTTAGTTTTTTCCCTCACCAGTGGGTAGATATCTCTATGATTGAGTTTACAAAGGCACTAACTTTTAAAAGCTGATATCATATAAACCAGAGTGAAAAGATTATTTTTTGCTTCTTCACTGCTTCATTAATCAAGTGAAAAGTTACGCAAAGTTCAGGTAATGCAGCCTCCTATTAGAATAACCTGATATTAGAATGACACAAAAATTAACTTCAATATAAAAATATAATTACATTCGTGTCACTAACAAAACATTTTAGTGTCCAATAACACCTTAGGAAGTCAAGTTGAGGAAGTATACTCTGGTTTCTATTTAATTTTTCCATGCGTCTTGTCAGCATATGTTCCAGCACCATAATATGCTATGCTCGACTTCAAATAGCCCTTTCCTTTTCTAAGAAAACCGTGGGAAGAATGACTTTTCTAATTTTACACGCTATAAAATAATTATTTTCAACCAACATAATTTCTTCAAAACTAAATTGTAAGTAAAAATATATTAACTAAAAAATTATTTATAGGAAAAAAATTTTATATTATAATTAAAAAAATACTTAATAAGTAAAATATGACTTCCAAGATAAGATAAGAAAACATAAATCATAATTAAAGAATTACTTATAAAAAAAAATAACTTTTATGAAAAAAAAATTGTTTGTAAAATAAAAATACTACTAATAAGACAAAAATTCACTTATAAAATATAAAAAAGTTACGTTTAAGCAACTAAAAATTATAAATTTAACTTATTATTGTAAAATTTCTTTATAAGTAAAAAATGTTAATTTAAAATTTTAAGTAAATATTTAATTTTATTTAATTTATAAAGTTAAATATTAACTTATATGTAAAAAAATTACCTATAAGTAAAATATCACTGTAAAAAAATTTATATAAGAAACTATGGCCCTATTTGGTACACATTATTTTTTTCATTATCATTCTTTTACTCATTTTCAACCACACGTTCTTCAATAAAATAATATTTTTCATCACATCAGTAACTTTTCCTTCATTTTTAACCACACATTCTCCATCAATCTACTATTCAATAATACATTCTTTCAAAAGAATGTGTCCCAAACACACTCTTGGAGTGCAAGTAAATTGTAGATTTTGAGTTTAGGAAAGAACCACACGTTCTTCAATAAAATAATATTTTTCATCACATCAGTAACTTTTCCTTCATTTTTAACCACACATTCTCCATCAATCTACTATTCAATAATACATTCTTTCAAAAGAATGTGTCCCAAACACACACTATAAACTGAAAATTTTACTAAGAGACATATATGTAATTTTATTGTTTTAAAAAACTTTCAGAACTGGTGGATAATAAACTCTCAAGCATATGTTTGATAGTTTTAAAAACCATTGCTAAAATCAATCAAAATCGATGCACTCATAAACGTTAGAAACCAATACTTTAAAAATAATAATAATAAAATCTCATAACCGGTACGCCGAATCTCCCAAGCAGGCCCTAAAGTTATATAAGGTACCTGCTAGTTATTTGACTAAAAGACTAAAAAAATTACACAGCAGGTTCTTAGCAAATAAAATCAGAAAATACAACATCAGCACTGAAATAGTACAAACACCATATAAATTTAATGTCAACAGGTAAAAAAAAATTGTTCTAGCACTGCACTAACCTTGAGGGTTTGATGCACTAACTCCATTAATTTTATAGCAGCTTCAGACACCATGAATTTCTCAGATGAAAACAGCAAGTCAATACAATTAGGGAAATCTTCAGCAATTCCTTCCTTGTTCATTCCCATAGTTCTTAAATACTCCTATAGGAAAAAGCATAAGCCATATGAAAAGCTGACAATTTATCTTTTCTTTAATAAGTAGATAATAACAATGCAGAAAACAAGCCAACAAAGTTACAACAGATAAAGCACTAAAGCTATCAGATTCCAAGTGGGAACTCACTTGAGAAAGGATGAAATTAGATTGTAGAAGCAGATTTCTAGCCTTAGCCAAAATCTCCACTTTCTTCCTTGATGCGAAGTGGACCTCAACATTGTCAGCAAATTTGCTAAGTCTCTCATCTTTGATATCAGAGGAAGCTATGAGCATAAGTTCCTTTAAATTTGTCTCAAATTCAGATGTAACCTTTCTGATTTTATGAAACTCAGCAAGCTTCGAAGCATCTTCAGGGATTAACTGAACTAAAAAATGGTGGATATCATGATAATAATTTGTAACGGAATTTTTTTTTAAATTTAACATACATTATAAGCATCAATGTTACACATAATACACTACAATAAACAGAGTTGCAAAACATTTATACATCTGAATCTTATGAGTGGGCATGGTTTACACTTTACAGTCATTCTGGTTATAGTAACAGTAAATTTCTATCTTAACCTACTATGAGTCAGTCTATGACATTTGCTCTGGATGTTTAACCAAAACTTAGCAAGGAGAAACAGCAATAACATGGAAAATGGGATGCAGTCTCTCAATTGAACCCAATCAAGGCACTTAATAGCTCTTGGTTGGAGAACAAAAACATTTAAACTTGGCCTATTCAAACAGAAAATTTGACTTACTGGCAAATGAAACTTAAAATTAGGACAAATTTGAACCGAGAAGTGTTGTGGAGGAAACATTGGATAAAATACTGAATAATGTGGAGCTAGTAAAACACTTCATGTGTTCTTAGGTGATGACAATGACCATGTGATGGACTTGATCTGTGACATTAAACTTCAATGAAAAGTGTTGCTCATGCTCTAACTGGCTAATCCTCCAACTGAAATAGAGGAGTTGTTCCACAGGGGTAGTTCTTGAAATCTGAAATTGGTTCCCTTTGGTGGCGGTGGTAATATTTTTGACCAAACCTCTATAAATTGAACTTCCATTTTTCTCTCTCTTTTCATTTCTTATATAACTATATATTTGTACTTAAATATTATATTTTGGCGTATTTGTTGCAGCTGTTGTGAGATTATTCACATTTCGGTCATTAAGGTGCAGAACTCTTTATTAACATATTTGTTCAAACCCTCTGTCATTGCAGTGGTTAAACTAAGGCACTAGATTAAAAACATAATGAGATAAATTTGCAAGAATTAATGGGTAAGTTACACTAAAATAACTTCTTTTGTAATATTTTTCCAAGTTATGCACTGCTCCCACTCTCCAAATAATTCACCTGTATTCTAAAAGTGATATGAGAGCTTACAAAATCTCATCATGTTTGCATTTCCACATTCACTAATTTAGCAGAAGTATTATTCTTGGATTTAAATACTAACTTTTAATGGTAAAATTATTTATAAATATAAGCCACAAATCTGCACATGCTTTTTTCAGAGACCTCCATATTATACAATTATACTAAGTCAGAAAACATTGACACCACCGAACCTTGGAAAGGAAGTCTGAAATGATCAACTCGGACATTCTTGGCCATGTTAATCTTCCAAAACAGCGCATCCAAGGACCATTCTTGAAGCACAAAGAGTCATAGATAAACTTAATGATCTGAACAATAGTATCGTACATAATTTCCCCATCCGTGCCGTTTCTCTGTAAATGTAAGATGTTACTAGATAAGATTATAACCAAAATGCGAAATATATAAGCAGATGATTTTCCCATTCAACAGATTGCACAGGCAATATGATTTCCATAAAATCTAAAAACATCACATCACCAGAGGAAAATGTACCTCGTTGTCAGCTGGAATCATCTCAAGAACTGCCTCCAAGAGATGCCCAGATTCTTGATCTATTTTTTCCATAAATGCAGGAGTAGACCTATATTTTATGACTGGAGTGGTAACATATTTTGTAAATAAATCTGCTACTTTTGCAAGCCCATAATCCAGAATACCAACCACCTGCAAAGGACAAATGACTTCTTACAAATCTATCAAGCAAGCTATCAATGTGTAAACAAACTGAGAATGTTTTTCAATTTCTCGTACACTAAGTTCCATCAAGAATTTGGACAAAGTTCAACTCACATCCATTGCTTTCAAAACTGTGTGAAGCTCAACCCCTTTGATGTCATTCACAGTCAACTGATATTTCACGCGAACTACGTTAGTTTCCTGCTCGAACTGCACAGCTTTCTCCATAAACTTCAGAAGCAGCACTTGAATCTACACCAAACCCAATTCCTCTAAAAATACAATCAGAAAACAACAACAAAGGTTCAAATACATAATAGAGGTTTTTCAATTGATAAAAGAGAGAGAAATATTCAAGTCTAAAAGTGATTAATTTGAGCACTGCTCAAGCATTTTTCTTTACTAGAAGGGCGGGAAAGACCCAAAAATAGAAAGCTCACTTCCAAATCAGTAGTCCATTCACTAACAAGAGAATAACAGTGGGTTCTCTAATAATCAACAATCTACAGACACAAAAATATTTTACTGTTGAAGTTATTTATTATTAAGCCCCCATTTAGTGGGGACTAAAATAAGATTTTTAGTAAATTTTGATAAAAGTTGATGAAATGTATGATTGAAAAGTTGTGGGACCCATAAAATATGTGGTTGAAATGAATTGTTGACTTTGACTTAGATTAAAGTCTAGATTTTAATCGGTACCAAACAGGAGCCAAGTTTCCACATACTTCAATTGTCAATTTCTTATATTGTATCGGTACATTGCATACAATTTTTCTTTTTATTTCTGATAAAAGTAAGAATTTTTTGTTGAAGAAGATAAGAGTGGTGTTGCATAGTAGAGAACAAGTTGTACTCTATTACAAAAACAGAAGAGATACAAAATAAGTGAACATCTCTAGGCATACTGCATATCTGTCATATAAACAGAAAATGACAGCCAATGTTTTCATGTCAGCTTTATTTCTATCCTCATGGTATCTCTAAGGGAAGTGCATAGCCATCCCATTGACACCATCTTAATTTATAAACTCCAATTTTATAACCCGAAAAAATATTTAATCAGTGCCTATGCTATATGATAAAAATCCTTAAACACAAAATTAACACAAAACTTATATATGACTTTCAAAAAATACAGTTATCTTTCCAATTTTGCTAGTCTCGCAAAGGTCTTTTATAATTTTAATATATGGGTGAGGGAATTATAATTTTTCGAAGCATCACCTGAACATAGAAAGCCATATCCAATGGAAGAAAGGAAACCTCAAGATATATAATTAAAATTACATGGATATATGTTAGATTTATGATGTGATTGAAAGAACGAAGGAATTATCTTAGATTCTCAAAGAGAGAAATTATCAACGTGTTAATCGACATATATTCTCCTAGAAGAAAACCACAATCAAATTTGAGATGAGTGAATCCTCGACTGAGAATTTATTTCCTTGTTTTTTTACTTGATAATCTTTGTTTCATAAGAAACTTATTTTATTCGTTATAGAAGTGTAACTACAGTTGTTAAGAGGATAACGAATCATACAACATCAATCACAATAAATTAAACTTAAGAATACAATATATCCAAGTTGCACGGACACACGACACAGACATGGCGCCATGTGAATTTTATAATAAGTAGTACATGGACACGTCAATTTAAATTCTTCAAATTTTCACATTTATATATTATCTCATTATTTTAATATTTTTTATACTTCTTAATATAAGACATGGTACATGCCATGTCGAACTCCAGATAGTTAAAGCAAAAAAAACTCTTATGAACTACAAATCTGAGTGAAATCCACATGAATGCTATAAACTTAGTTCTATCCCAACACAGAATCTTACTCTCTTCCTTCGAAGATCCTAGTCTTTCTCTGCATCCAAAACACCTAAAAATAGATAAACTTATAGCTTTCCACATGAACACACCCCATACTGGTACCAATGTCAATTGTATTTTCCAGGAGCTATCCATTAAAACAGATCAGGCAGACTCCAATTAAAACCAAATTGTTGAAGAAGTCTACACCATAACCATCTTGCACATAGCCATCTCTCAAAAACAAGTTATCAATGCATTAGAATCATTTCTACAACATTTCTTTTGAACTGATTAATTTTACTATGAGACACACCATAGAAACATCTTAATTCTATTAAGGATGAAAGATTTCCAAAGCTAAATAGAAAAGGATGGGGTAGTTTGGCAAATCAACAAGAGTATGGAAGAATGACTTGCAAGAAAAGGAGCCCGAAGATTTTCAACTCCTAACTGCTTCTACAATTACTACTTGGCCCCTATTTGGTACACATTATTTAAAAATATATTATTTCAAAACTCATTTTCAACCACGCATTCTTCAATAAAATAATATTTTTCATCACATCAATAACTTTTCCTTACTTATTAACCATGTATTTCCCATCATATCACTATTTAAAATACATTATTTCCTCAATAATATCCATCAAACACACCCTAAATAAAGTAAGTGGAGAGCATAACTAGTCCAGCCATGTAAAGATAAAACTTGAAATTTAAAATACATTCTTTTTTCAATATCATCCATCAAACACACCCTTGATATCAAAACCTAAGCTACCAAATGTTCTTTTTTCACATCCCTGTCTTTTCGCCAAAGTCCCTCATAAGTTTCTCCAAATACTATAACCTTACCTAGCATACTAAACAATGACTAACAAACGTGGGTATTTGACAAGATTGACTGGATAAAAGTTAACTTCCCCATCTTGAGAGAAGCTATTTATTCCATCCTTCCAGTCTTATAGGATCCCCCTCCGATATTGGAGAGAAAAACTCTATGGATGATGGATTAGCTTCTAGAGGAAGGTCTAATTATTACAAAGGCTACTCTCCTACAAAACAACTATCATTGCCAAATTTTGAACCCAACTACAGTAAGTTTATTCCAACAATGACACTCTCAATCATTTAAAGTTTACGTCCAGAAATATTGCTGAAATTTTTAAAATATCCAGAAGATCAAAAAATATTCATCATATGCCTTCAAACATGATATTATCTTCAACTTGAAAACGCGAAACAACCTACATCATTATCATTATCGGTTTCAACACCTTTTAATAAACACATCTCATCTGCCCTATCAAACATGAAACTTAAAACACGTGACAAGCGTAAATACAAATAGTAATAATGGATTACCTTGTCGTAGCCTTAAATCTAACTTTCGGCTTACCATTTACAAAAGATGAAAAAACAAGCCTTCCTAACACCTCCACTTATCCATCTTCTCCATCAAAGGCTAAAACCTTTCTTTGTCAAAACAAAATCCAGAAACCCTAATGAACATGGTCATAGACCTTCTCAAAATCAATTTTAAACATTAATCCTACATATTCATTGCTCCACACTTCTCAACTACATCATAGCCACTAATGACATCCAAAATTTGTCTCCCTTTTACAAAAACCCTCTAGTTAATAGAGATCGTGTCTTCTAAAGCCTTTCATTCGATTAAAATAGAAACGTCGCCATAATCTTTTATGAACTAGTAAGCAACCTGACAGGGGCTACAATAACTTATTTGAACATAAACTTACTTTTTTCTTTAATGCCAGTAGAGTTCATATGACGTGCTTTTACACTCATAAGAGTAAATTTTCAACACTCTTCTTTGAAAAAAAAAACTCTTTCTATTATCTTGGAGTTTCTATCACTAAATATATTAATCTTCCAGTTTCGGCGGCTTTATTCAATTTTCTAGGCTTTCCTCTTTCTTCTTGAAACCAAGCACATAGATGACGCATCATAACAATCTAAAATCAAGGTACAGCATTTTTAGGTATACAATACAACATAATACCATGTATGCCTCTATAAATTGAGATTCAAAACTAAACGGTGGAGAGAAAAAGAAGTCATAATCTACCTCTTCAAAACACTGAGCCCACTCGTTCCTCAAGAGTCCATAAACCACCGGCTCACCTTCCACCACCTCGTACGCCAATTCACCATTTCGAATTCTCATTGCCGTCTTCAATTCCTTCAATCCCTCAGCAGCTTCTACAACTCTCCCAATTCTTATATCCTCCTTAACAACCCTCAACTTGTCATTCAATTGCAATACTACCTCAAGTAATTCCAACAATTCCTTCTTCTCCCTCACCTGCTTCTTCTTCTCCATGGTCTCTCTAATAATCCCACTGAGGTCGGCTTCGATCGGGTTCTCCGAAATCAGATTTAGCAATTCGGATACTTGACCTGAGAGCTCTTCGGACCTGGAAACGACGTCGGAGCATTGCGAGAAGAGGAATGAGAAATCGTCTTGGTGGGAGAGGAGGTACGATTGGACTTTGGATTTGATTTTGAGTGTGTGGGATTCGAGCCGGGTTATGAGGAGCCGGAGATCCGGCGCCGACAGAGGGGACGACGGCGAATCGAGGAGGTCCGGTGAGGAGAGAAGATCTCGGACGTCGATCGAGTTGACCAGGACGTCCATATCTACGGTTATGATTCAACTGTCTCTGGAGTGGGAACTTGTAGACGCCGTTACCATTTTCCTAAGTTATATATATTATTTTTATTTTAATTTTGGTTGAAGTAACTAAAAGGGCAAAAAAAGAAAACTCGACTGTCCATGTCGTTCATTTCGTCCGTGTTTGGCGTAGATTAAAAGTTGCTAAAATTCACAAATCAAAATTAAAAATTAATTTTAATTACATATTTTATGTAATACAATTTTCAGCAATTTTTATCAAAATTTATTAAAAATTCAATTTTAATATACACCAAATAAGAGTTTAGTACTTCTAACATTTTTTTCAAACTAGTTGTGAATAAGAAGATTGTCAATTGAATCAAATTGAATCGAAATCACAATTTTCAATAGTTGATTTGAACCACGTAATTTAGGTTTTGATCGTTTCAAAACCGAATCAAACAATTTGAAAATGATTTAGTTAGGTTCTTAAAAGAACTTACCCTGAGGTTGCAAGCCCAACAGTGCCCATCATTTGCCAACTTGGATGTGCCCCGGGGGGCAATTATATATATTATTTTTATTTTACTTTTGGTTGGTGTAGATTAAAAGTTGCTAAAATTCACAAATCAAAATTAACAATTAATTTTAATTACATATTTTATGGAATACAATTTTCAGCAACTTTTATCAAAATTTATTAAAAATTCAATTTTAATATACACTAAATAGGAATTTAGTACTTTTTAACATTTTTAAAACTAGATGTGAATAAGAAAATTGTCAATTGGATCGAATCGAATCGAAATCACAATTTTCAATAGTTGATTTGAACCACATAATTTAGGTACTGATCGTTTCAAAATCGAATCAAACAATTTGAAAATGGTTTAGTTAGGTTCTTAAAAGAACTTAAAATCAAATTGAGGAGTACATCCATTTAAAAAAAAAAATTCACTTGTTTTATCCAAAATATACTATTTATTAAATCTATTTATACTTCAAAGAAATATATTATTTTTATGTCTTAAAAATATGGTTTGAAACCAAATTACATGGCAAAAAATTGTTTGGTTTGGACAGTTTGAGAAATGAAGTGGTTTAAAATAATTTGGTTTGAAAATAGTTCAAAAATTGCCTAAATTGAATCGTATTCACCATTACTTTAAACACTTTTAATTTTTAATGAATAATTTGTCTAAAAATTTTGTTAAAACTGTAGCACAAAGCATATGAAGCGTTTGTGTGAGAGTTAAATAAATTAGATATAAACAACATAAAAAGAAATAAATAAAGGAAAAAAAAGAAAGAAAATGTCATTCTCTTCATTGTCGTGAACACTCTTCTCCTGCATCAAACCCCATCGCGCACACCCCCACTTCCACTGTACAGTCGAACCCCAAGAACCTTCTTCGTGGTGTTCCATCCTAAATCGTCCCTTCATGCGTCGATGTGCTTTGTCATGTATGTTCTTGTTGATGCATTGTCTCCCCTACATGTGTTGATGGGGGTAGCATCGTAGATGCTCTCACCAGCTAGGCAATAATGTTTGAGGTGGTTGGAGCTGTCTCGATACCCTCATTGTTAGAGTTGCAAGATGGCTTGTGCAAGGGCAAAGGTAAGTGGTGGCTATTGGATCGAGGAGCTAGGATTGGAGATAGTGGCGATGACAAAGTAAGAGCTAGTGTCACAACATGTTAAAAAAGATTAGGGATGATAAAATAATTACCATCAAACCTAATGGTGTGGGGAATCCCCACTTCGATTAGCATTTGGGGTGGGGATGGATATTGATGTCCTCATCCCGAATTCTAAACAAGTCATAAATCGTTTATTTTATTTTTCATGTTTTTCAATTTAGATCCCATTTAAGAAATAATAAATAATAATTAAAAGGGATAGTAAATGAGAATTTTTTAATTCCTGTCCCATCACCCCAAAATCTCCGACAAGATGGGGATCATAATAGCGCTCAACCTATCTCGTTGCAATCAAAAGATGATAAGTTGAACTATTTTCCTTCATATACTATTTTATCTTCTTCTTTTATTTTAATTAAAAATAAGGATAATATACATTTCGATATTGGGTTGGACAATTTTCTTCCGTAAGGACAATTTTGTAATTGAAATGAATACGAGGGATCAAATTTCTCCTTTCCAAAGTTTGGGAGCTAATGTTTAATTTTCTAAAATTACAAAGAAATAAAAGTAGAGGATAATTATCTAGGAGGTAAAAAGAGTTGAAAAAATAAAAATGACCAGAACTCTTTAATTTTAATTTTTATGTGTCTATTTTTCTTTGAACTCAACACATACATTACATGTTTTTTTGCCATTATTACTTCGGTATGGACAGTAATGCTCTTCTTAATAACAATTTATATTTTTTATACAATGTCTCAATAATAATTAACGCCAACACGCTCATAACTTATCAACAACCACAAAGCCGTCGAGTAGGTCAAACAAGATTGACCAACGCACCTAAATGGTTGAGATAGTCGAGTTAATCCATCTTGCTCGACCAACTCAGCAAAATTTATTGAGTCGAATGGGTTGTAATGAGGAAAAATAGTGAAGATGAATGTTATTTTTAATAAGCTTAGATTAACATTTAAAAAGGTTTTTTAAACAAAAATATTTTTTATAAAAAGGTAATTTTTTGCTTGATGAGTAATAGAAAACTTAAAATGTGGTAGAGAACTCAAGGATAGAGAAAGAAGGACGTATTCGTATTGTTTGGAAGAGAATAGATAAAGAAAGTGCATATATGTTGAATGTTCCTACTTTTCATAAGAAATTTGAGATAGAAGTGTTGCGAGTCCATTGTTAAAGAGGGTGAAATGATGAAAAGAATGAAAAATTAGAGAAATCGTACGAACTTGTGTGTGTCGTACATTGAGAGTTCTCCTGATTTTATAAAGCAAGTTATTGAAAGAGTATTTAGCCCTTGTCTGGAAACACTATTAATCAGAATTTGGAACGTTATGGCCGTAATTGTTGACCCAGTTGTGAGAGAGTGGGTCCCATTTTTTAAAAATAAGCAGTAATAAAATCAATTCCTTGCTGATTTTAATTTGCACCAGAAAGCTCCTTAAAGTTTGTAATTTCTCACTTCAAATAATAAGTTGATTATTCATTTCTTATTTTCAAGTGCGTACATTATCATTGTAGTTGAACGACAATTGTATATTTTCGATAATTTTATACATAAATTGAATTTTGGACATCATGTACAATATTTTTAACATACAAAGACACGTTTTGAGTTCAACCAAACAACTAGCGTGACAAAATACCAAGGTACTGTTTTAAAACAGCAGCCTACCATTTTGTATAAAATTAAATCTCCAATTTCTCGACCAACATATCAACATTAGGTTTTCAATCGATGCCATAAAAAAAAAAAAAAAAATTAAAAATTCAATTAACAGATTAAAGCCAACCACAAGAATCTATTATGCATACATGTAATCAAACATTAAACCCTATTTGGTTGAATTAAAAAAAAAACCTAATTAAAATATAAGTCAAAGTCAAGAATTAATATTAATCACACATTTTATGAAATCCACTACTTTTCAAATACATATTTGATCAACTTTTATTAAAAACTTACTAAAAATATGGGTTTTATCTAAATTGTAAGGCCAAACTTAGTCCATGTCTGGTCCTAAGTTTTTAAAACTAGTTTTTTCTTAAATTCATTTTTAACAATACATATTATGGAATTCATGATTTTTATCAACTTTTATTAAAATCTACTGAAAATTTAAATCAAATAGGGGCTTAGCAAAAAAAATATTTTTACAAAAAGAACAAGGAACTCCATACAATGGCAGATACTTCAAGAAAATTCATATTGTCTGTTTGGTGAAGTAATGTCAATAAGGCCTACTAAACTTTGCAGATTTTCTTCTGCATTTTCATTGTGAAATGGACCTATCTGAAAAATACAGTACTGCACATACATTCTCCCAATTAAAAAAATGAATTAAGCTATTTGTACCCTCTTGTTTACCCTACCCCACCTGCTCTCTCACATGGAGGTCGGGTCCCACGTCCAATAAATGCGTGGGGCCCAACCTCCATGTGAGAGGATGAGTAAGACCGAGTAAACCAAAGTATAAATAAGAGGGTACAAATAGTAAGGTCCTAAAAAAATTGGATAATGATGAATGTGCACTCCTTGGTGTACATTCATTTTGACACTCCACTCATATGGGGAGTGGTGTCCGTGTGGAACCCACAATCGCGGGCTCACCCCATGTGAGGGGAGTGTCAAACTTGATGTAGTGTACATCAAGCATTGTCCAAAAAAATTAGCAATCATGCTATATGTATATTAAGTTTGACAGCTCTTTTGACATTATGTGAGTTGACAGATTTTTATACATTAATTTTAACGTCTTTCCAATCAATGGCCAGGATTTCTACACATAAGTGGGTTGTAAAATAAGCTTTCATCCGGCAGTGTATAAGATGCATAATTGAAAAATTAGTTGGTTGGTAGATGAATTGACAAGTACTGGTCTGAGTTTGAACTTCTTTTGCTAATTTCTTAATAGTTTAAAATCCAGTGTTTTAGTAAAGAAAACAAACCAAAAATATTTACTTTACCTAAGTCAGTCTTATTTCAAACTACCAAAGAGATTAAGGGCCCGTTTGGCATAGTTTTTGCTTCTGTTTTTTGTTTGAAAACTAATTTTTAAAAAAGTTTCATATACCAAAAGTACTTTTTGATGAAGCCACGTTGGATCAATTTCCTCTAAAAGCAATTTTAACTACTGAATAAATTTTAATAAAATTAGTCAAACGGATCCAAAAACTGCTTTTGGATCTCAAAAACTCCTTTTAACTTTTCAAAAGTTATATGTTTATTCGTACTCGACATTTTCCATTAAACATTTTATTCTTTTTTATTAATTCAAACTATGGAATAATAGTCATTCTGATTAAAAATAAGTTGATTTCTAATAGAGATAGCAAAATAACCCGAGCAGCGGGACAGGGAACATG